GCGAGTCACCGGACGGCGATCGACCAAGTTGTCTTCGCCCGCCGCTGACTCTTCTCGAAGTCAGTGTTGCGCCTTGAGATTGGCAAACTCAAATCTAAGATGGCGCTCTACTCGAACGTCCACTTCCTTGTGGCTCCGACATAATTGAGACAGCGAGGAAAGCTTGTGGTGCTGCTGTACCCATCGCTTAAAGAGCTCATCATAATCGGCAGCGATTTCGCCAGGGGTGAGCACCACAGGACTCGTCGGCATTACGAGTACAGGAGCGCCTCTTCTTTAAGCTCGAACTCTAACGCGGTAACTATCCATTGGAAATTCTTGAGGTATACTGAAGCGAGCTCGGAGAGCTTTCCGCTGGTCCAGCTCAGCTTGTGTAGTGGCCAGGGGTCCTACCACGGAGACGCCTAACGATCGAGTGATCGCGTCTTCCGCCTCAGTAACGGGACCCGCCAAGCGGAAGCCGTACTCCACACGAGGGTCTACGACCAAATGTGGATACGAGCGCATGGGAGCTGCCCCGTGGGCAGACTCTCATTGCTGCTCTTGTGCTTCGTCGAGGCGTTTGGTAATAATACCACTTCCTCCGAAAGCCGAGAGATCGGAGAACGGACACGTTGTCCGCAAGATTTGAGCTTCGCACCGTTGGCGCACTTTATCCTCCTCGTCTTCCCATGCTGGGAAAGGAGTATCCAGCTCGTTGTCAGCCTCCTCTAACTCCATGACGAGGAAATTCGATCGCCCGGGACGGGTGCGGCGTGTTGCGCTCGGTTGCCGAGGGGTTGGGATGCGCCTCCCGCGAAGCCGCGGATGTACTGTCCGGAGATGCACTCTGTGCAGAAGAAGAAGGGCTTTGTCTGCGGGTGCCCTCGGAACCAGCCAGACTGGGTGTTCTGAGTGTCGTAGACACAGGGCGTGTAGAGCGGAATATGTTTAAAGTTGTATTTTAGAACGTGACGGTGTCTCAGACATGCGAGCCTCGTATAAGGCCACATTTAAATGTGAAATGTGAGTATTTACAATTTTGATGGGGGAGAGTATAACGGGGATACACGTACCGTGTATGAAAGGGCGGGTCACACAAGATGGTGTGATTGTGCATAGGTGTGGATCACACAATTTGGTGTAATCACGCAATGGTGGGGCTACATCGTAACAAGAAGCCATTACGTGGCAGGACTGCCAGGAGTAAAGCATATTAATATGGTTTTACTTTCAATAAGGAAAACATATAGATTTAGATATAGCCGGCTCTGCCGCAAATAAAACAACTCTTTGCCTTAATTTGAGGTTTTAAGTACTCTGGAGGTAGCGGATTGCGATCCGCTACACTCGTACAGGTTCCTGTATATAACGTAAGGTCGGTGACCTTAGCTTGGCTTCCTCTAAGTATGGAGCTACGACAGCCCCGCTACATCGCATACACCAATCAAAGCGTCGGTATTCGCCGCTATCATTGCATAGGACGTTATCGGTATGAAATCTTGAAAAACTACCGATTGCAAATAATCAAAGTGGCTTTGAAAAGGCGAAGCCGTCAAGCATCACTGATCACTATGCTGTATATTTATCGAGGACTGACAAGTTCAGGAACGAAATCTGACCATAAATTTTCAGGCCCAAAGCTCTTCGCAGTCTATTCAGCTACATGTTTCATAACGATGTACATTTGCGTATATTGCAAAAACAAGCTAGATAGCTCATTGGTAATAATATACTCACCTTACTACGACAAACGACTTCGTAAAAGTACAACCGCTTAAAGACAAAGTCAATTATAACTACAGCTTGCCAATTTATTAAGCCATTCATTGAAAATTGTGGCTTATCAGTTTTGTACTCACCATTGTAAGTTGAATTTCTTAAGAAACAACAGTATTCATTCTAATAATTTATATTATATTCGTCTTGCGTCTACCACATCAAACTTCGGTATATTATATGCAACACTCTTAGGACCACAAATATGAAGTTCTCGTTCCATGAATTTGAGTTATAAACCTCTGAACTTCGCATTAATTTGAAAGATACCGATCGCCAAGCAGCGGGATTTCAGTTTTGGGGCCGAGCAAAGACAAAAAGTGTGTTTCTTCTACAAACCAAAGTCTATCGAATAGCACTGGCTGAGGATCGGCTGCCAATTGAATTGAAATTTCTTCGCACCGAGCGTGCAGGCGGGCTAAGTCATTATCATGAACGTCAGGTGACAATATTCGACCTAGCGTTGAATGAATAATCACACGTGTGTCTGTTTTTGGAATGTACGAAAACGTCTTTTTAGCGGCGTGGCGGATGTAATCGATCGAATATTCGGCATGCATATTGATAAGTTGGTTGCTTAGCTTTTCAATTGATGATAGGCATTCAAATAACATGACAATAGCCCCCGTTGACGTCATAAGTACTTTCACAGGTATCATTCGAAACGGTGCGATGCGAGTACACATGGTCTTAAGTTGAGCCACATCTTGAGGAAAGTGACGCCTCGCATTTGGTGCGATATCGTTTGGATGCGATGTGTGGAATAGTGTAACATGCATGAGTTCGAGACGTGTTACGTAAGCCACAGCGTTACCAGTTTCACGCTCGCGTGGTAACAACTCTGTCAATTCTTTGCCTATCGCATAGCAACGCTTAGCCATCATTTTGGGGATTGGCAAACAGATAATTGCAACGCCATCACTATCAGAGGAGAATATGTATCGTTTGGATTCGAGCGTTGGACCAAGTCGAAATTTCTGTCTACATCAGTAGATTTTTGTGAGAAGTCTTAAGAGACTTAATAAATGTGTTGCTGACACACCTTGTCTTTTCAATACCCTTACGATCAAGAAACTGCTTACCGTTTTCGTGGAGTTTTCTGTTTAGATCCTCGCGCTCTTGACGCCACTGTGCTTCCTGCTCGGTGCAGTCGAAGAAGCTCATTAGAAACCTTAGATATGACAATTTACACAATAGTCATATATTAATGTGATTTTTTAAGTGAGAGATACTACTGAGTAAATGAATAAAAAATAACCACATACAAAATAGTAATATCTGATAAGCAAGAACAAAATGGAGCATGATGGCGAATACGTTGTTGTGCTTTATTACAAATATGTGCGTCTATGCGAGACGTCAGAGGAGCTCAAAGCATATGCATCTTCCCAAGAAGATTTATGTTTATCTTTTGGGCTTACAGGTCGTATACGACTCGCACTGGAAGGTATTAATGGTACGCTTGGAGGCACCAGTGCAAGTGTGCAGAGTTATATCGACGCTATGAAGGAGCAGTCAAAATTTAGTGACGTGGACTGGAAGACTAGTCGAGCAAAGGTGGCTCCGTTTTCTGAGCTAATTGTACGTGTCGTTGCGGAGATTGTAGCTTTAGAGCTTCCAACTCATGCTTACGACTTAAAAGTGCGAGGCAAACATTTGACACCAGACGAGTTTCGAGCAGAGCAATTAAATGCTGAGCCTGAATCTATTGCTGTTATTGACGTACGCAATGTATATGAATACAACGTTGGTCATTTTACTGGTGCTTTAAACCCAAAGACTCGTCGTTTTGGGCAATTTCCTCAATGGGTACAACATGAGCTGCCCATGTTACAACAAAAGGAAAAAGTGTTAATGTATTGCACAGGTGGCATCCGATGCGAAAAAGCTTCAGCTTATTTAAAACATTTAGGACTCAAGAATGTCTATCAGTTGGAAGGAGGAATTCATCGCTACCTTGAGCGTTTTCCCGATGGTGGAGATCTTTTTCAGGGCAAAAACTTTGTCTTTGATCAGCGAGTAATGATGGCTTCTGATGACAAGATGATCACGGGCCAATGTGCGCGATGCCACGTACCGCATGATGAATTGTCAGGCTCTCGCTGTGCATATTGTCGTACGCATGTGCTGCTCTGTGAAGCGTGTCAGGAAGAAGCAAAAGACCGTAAAGAGACTGATGACGACATTTTCTGTGACGATCATCTGGCTTTGGTATCTGGATCGATAGAAGACCTGAAGATGCGCGTGCATTTTCTCCACGACTTGATATCGAAGGAAAATGGCCGCGATAAAAAGGGTCGTCGCCGTTCACTACGCAAGCAGTTAGACACAGTTGACCGCAGGATACAACGTCTTACTAATGCATAAGTCAATCAATTGAAATGGCTGATTTCCGGATTCTTCGGTCATTATTTCAGTGTGAATATATTGTTTCGGCTGTTATAACTGCAGGATAGTCAAGTAAATTCTTGATTGGACTTGCTCACTCATCAACGCACGATACATTTGCTTTTCTTTCTATTATGTAGAAAAAACGCACACCCTTGTGATTCGAGCATACTGATAATCTTCAGCGCACGATACTCTGTTGATAATTGCCCAATTGATTTCAAATTGAGTCTTTTCGATACCTCAGAAGTCAATTTAGCGCTTGACCCACTTGATCTGTTAAAAGATCATGTAAGGGGCTTACGTTTCGTTGTTCCATTCAACTAATCGTCTCATAATCTTCTACACATGAACGGAAAAAGCTCGAATCTTTCGCATCATTTCATACTCGTGATGAACAAGGCCATACATATGCTGATGATCTCGTTGAGAATGTAAATAATTTTCGTTCAAGACAAGGATAGAACATTCAGGACGAAAGCGTGACAAAGGAGCACAATGTCAAATATGTTTTTAGCGCAATACACATGGTTTAAGCAAATGGTGTAGTGATTGTTGATACAAGCTTGAGAACAGAAGACACCTAGCAAAATCACCCCCTCCCCTTTTAATGAACAGGGTATGTCCTTTAAGTCACTTACCGAAATCTGAAGGGACCATGTTCATTTTGTGTCTACCGAGGACGTGAAGCTCATCAAGAATTCCATACAAAGTGTCGCTACATAGAGAATGTCATAATCTGGATACGTCCTTTTCGTCCAGAACATTATCGTCAGCACCACAAAGGTCTGCATTCGCTGCTGTGGGAGCATTTTCAATCCCTATCAATGTCGGAGAAATAGCAATTTCTTATAACAAGAAAGACACATGGGTGCATTCATCGATCAAGATGCGGAACATCTCGTATATCAGATACGAGGTCCAATAACTGATACGATGATCGCCGACATGTTTCTTTCACCTATCAGACAACGAGAAAGAATCTCATCCATTTACCAAAGTGGTTGCTTTGAGAAATTTCCAGATACACTCTGACAAATCCAACAATGTCGAATAAAAAAGAATTCATTGCGATCCAATCTTGAAATCGACCACACATCAGTTGGACTGTCTTTCCGTCATCATCTTAAATCATCGCAATCAATTACTCTAAGGGACCTTGAGTCCGCGATTTTTTTCAAAAATCTGTCGTTACAGGAGGAGAATTACGAGCTAACCAACACGATCAAATTTGTTACAAAGCTATTGAAAGACGTTGATGTCGTTTAAGCTGAGCGATAATTATCGAGGGTGTGAACAGAAAATTTTATTTCCGACGTTCTGAATATTTAAAGTGCTTGACAGGCAATGTTTTAGCGTGATGCGTCTGTCCTAAAGATTCCATTGCACGATCTGCACCAGACAGGACATTCTTGAGTTCAGAAAGCAATCCAGAAATATGCGATAATGTTTGATGATGCTTGAGACGATCTGTAGAGATACTTCTAGTCTATCAGAATTTTGCCGGCGGGGGCTACCTACAGCCTTTGCTAACACTACCTCGGTCAATTCAAATTTTCAATTGCTGAGGTTTCAAGCCAAACAAATATTCAAAATCAAATATTTTCGAAAAAATTGCATACTGTACCAAATGCTTTGTGTCATAATCTTCTTATATGAAGTCACAAAAGTTCTGGGTGCTACAGGATGCTGGGTCCTTCCTGGTGATCTGTACTGGTGACGAGACCAACGTGCCTCTGTCTTTAAAAGTGGGTGGCGTAAGCCAGTCAATTCTACTGGATACTTTCTATGCAGCGGGGCTGCCGTAGCTTCGCGCTTGAGGAAGCGTCTTTAGGTCACGGACCTTTTTTATAAGAACCAAGTACTGGTGCAGCGGATCGCAATCCGCTGCCTCTAAAAGTTCTTAAAAGCCTTACCAAGGCAAACCGAAACTGATTTTTATTTAAATTTTTATCCCAATGTTAAAATTTAGATTTTCCTAAATATACTAAATATATATCGTAAAATCAAAATACATCCATAACTACTGGCTACCTAGCCCCGTCCCGTATTCTTGGTTTGGGTGTGTGGTCACATTATGCACATCTCGTGCGACACGCACACACCCCTTTTATTAGGGTTCGTGTAACCCTGTTACACCCTCCCCCATTAAGATTGAAAACATTTGCAGTTTCAATCAATTATAACCTCAACGAGGCTCGTGTGTCCGTTAGACACTGCAACTCCATTTGTTGGAACAAACAACTTCCTTGCTCAATGAGCCCTGTGTCAATGAAATCAAAACCTCCAAGTCTCGCCGGTTCTGACGGCGACCATGGACAGAGCCCAACTTCATCTCTCGCACTCGGTGCAACGTCGGACAGTGCGTCGCAGCACCGAGGTATATATCCTAGGCTCGATGAGCACAAACGTCGCA